CATTGTTTACGGAATGCATGGGTTTTCTTAGCTTTGTAAGAAGAAAACACCGTTGTCTTCAGTGTTCATCTCTCATGCTGGCTGAGGATGGACGCGGAGTTGTGGGGAGTCCCAGAGTTTTGAGGGCAGGCAGTCTCTCCACACTCAGAGTCAGCAACAAATTTTCCCTTTTCATTCATTCTGGTGACTCCATTCCTGTTACAGATTCCTTTGGGAAAGTACCAAATACGATGTGCCATCCGTCTTTGCTGCTTTAGCTATGCTGCACATATATTTTAAAATGATTATTTTTATAACTTCATACATGCATACAATGAAATACGATCATATCCACCCTCCATTTCCCCATCCAGCCTCCCTTAAATCCCCACATGTCCCCTCCCAACTTCATGTCTTTTCACTAACCCACTACACCCAATCAGTGCTGTCTGTATATGCATGGGTGTGGGGTCCTCCGCTGGAGCATGGGCAACCCACCATGGGCCACACCCCCAAAGAAGAAAGCGTTCCCTCCCCCAGCAGCTATCAACTCATCCTATGTTCCCTTTCACACCACTGTTTTGGTCCTTATTGATTTCATTCCCCTAAAGTAGTATTTTTTTTTTCTTATGGCTGAGCACACAGCCTAGTACACAGAGAGATACTTATTGATGGGCCTGCAGTGATTCCTGAGGACTTAAGTTATTCCCTTATGTGAAGTGTGCTTTACAGATGGCCAGAACGTGATGATGTGCTAAGTAGGGTTTGCTGAGCTCCGGACAACATGAGCCACCTGGGGCATTGCTCTTGTCTGAGCTGCTGTTTCTGGGAGTGCTTTGGTATTTGAAAAGTTCCTGGGCTGGACCTTTGGCAGCAGGATTTGGGGCAGATGGAACACTGTTGGTTTGAATAATAGCTGTGCTGTGTTGAGCATCCAAACCTATGTAGTCTGTTTCCTCTGTCATTCATTTCTCTGCATCTCACTTGTTACTCTGGAATCAATGTGACAAAGTATATAACAGAGGCAACTTAAAGAGAGATTTATTTTGCCTCACAGTTCCAGAGGGTTTCAGCTCATCATAGCTGTGAAGACATGGCAAAACAGCTCCATACGTGGTAGAGGAAGCATGTGACAGGCTCATTCACATCATAGATGATCAGGAAGCAGAGCATACGACAGGAACCTGGGTCCTGGCTAAACTAGCAAAGCGCCATCTTTAATGACCTACTTCTGCTAGCTAGGCCGCACCTTTTAAAGGCTCCACAGCCTTCTAAAATAGCACTACTAAACCCGAGGAACAAGTGTTCAAAGCAGGAGCTGTGTGGGAAATTCCAGATTCAAGGCTTAGCATCACAGGAGACATCCCTAAACAGCATTTTCACACTATGCTGAGTACACATCCAGAGGAGCCCATGCAGACACCTGCCAAGTGGGACGGGGTGGCGGACCATCTCACCAACATTTTCCTAAAAGCGGTATGGACAGCCCCTTGAAAGGACATTTTATTGGGAGTTCATTTAAAAGTCGGGCTCTTTCATTTGGGTTTGGTATGAACCAAAGAATGATTTGTCAGAATATGTGTATATAAATAGGTTGGATTTGTAAATTGCATATTCTGGGCCCAGCACCATGCTAAGATAAATCCACATATTTTCTTAGTTAACCCTTGCAAGCGTCACCCCCATCTTTTACATTTCTGGTCTCTCTGTAGCCCCAGCTGGCCCGAAACTAGCTAGGTAGACAAGGCTGGCCTTGATCTTACAAAGATCTGTCTGCTGGGATTAAAGGTGTGAGCCACAACAGCTGGCCAGCATTTACATATCTGGGGGGGGTCAGTGCACATGTCATAGTACACATGTGGAGGTCAGAGGACAACTTGAAGGAGACAGTTTTCTCTCCTCTACCATGTGGGTTCCAGGGATTGAACTCAAGTGTTTTTACCTGCTGAGCCACCTCGCTGGCCAATCACACATATCGTAAGATAAGAAAACAAATAGGAGGTGGCCTTGCTTCATGTTGCCAACCATCGGGTGGTAGAACTGGCATTTGAACCCGGAAGTCAGATCTCACAGCCTGCCGCACTCTTCCTTTCAGTGTATGTGCATATCTATAAATATATCTATGTATACATACATCAAATCCATATATGTACACAGTCATTAACCCATGTAAAAGCTTAGAATAAGCTTCTAGACAGAAATGTGATTCATGAGATTTTAGGAGAGGGTATGAATTAGTATCAATGTTTACATTTATGCCACGTTTTCCTCTGATAATTTTTAAAAAATTATTTTATGATGTTTACATTTATGCCACGTTTTCCTCTGATAATTTTTAAAAAATTATTTTTGTATTATTTTTATGTGTACGAGTGTACTGCCTGCATGTATGTTGAGTGCACCCATGTTGTGCAATGCCATGGAGGTCAGAAGGCTTCAGATTCCCCTGGAACTGGAGTTAAGGATGGTCCATAGCCTCCATGTGGGTGCTGGGAATCAAACCTGGGTCCTCTGCAAGAGCAGTCAGTGCTCTTAACCAATGAGCCATCTCTCTAGACACTTGGTTTTGTTTTTTGAGACAAAGTCTCATGCAGTCCAAGCTGGCCTGGAACCCACTATGGAGCAGAGGCTGACCTTGCACTCCTGATCCTCCTGCCTCTATCTCCGAATTGCTAGGATTACAGATGCTCAACACCATGCCCAGCTCACCCAGTCACTTTAATCTGTGAACTAAGAATGCATTATTCTCATACTGAAAAAACCAAGTTATTGACTTTGCTCTGTCCATTTCCGTAGGAAAAGCTCACTGAACACCTGAAAGTGGTTGTTGTTTCCCTTTCTTTTGTCTTAGACGTTTAAAAGGGCAAGTCGTAAAAACTGGTGGAAAGACAGCATGGATTCAACAGGAAACACATCCAGAGACTTCGTGCCTTCCCGGATTCACAAAATGCTTCAAGGACGACTTACACCTAAACACATGCGGTTCAGCCCAGCTTAGTTCTTCTAGAAGTCAAATCTGTAGGAACAGTGTGAGATGAGCTCGTTCTCCTCCCTCCTTTGCTTCATGGTCCTGACCCTGGTCCACTCCTGTCCCAGAATGCAGGCTGTCTTGAGGATGCCTGGGCGTGACTGTGCCACCTGCTCTGTCTGGCCTTGGGGAATCTAGAGACCATGGCCTCGGCTCCCCTGGGGGAAGTGTGGGCATGCTTAGTTCATTCATGTTTAAGCCTGTATTTCTGCTCTGCTCTCTTCTGTTCTTTGTGCTTTTCAGTGTCCCCTGTCTTCCTTCCTCAGTGACCCCAACTTTGCAGAGGCTGCACTTGGCTCTTTGCTTTTGTTTTACCTGAACTGCTTTGCTGGCTGCAGCTGGGGAGTTTTTGTGCTTTAGGCCTTTAGCAGTGTTTCAGGATGTCTCTTTATTCCTTTGGTTGCTTTCTACTAGTTTTTCAATCCTTTATAAGCATTTTTTTTAAACTTAAAATATTTTATTATTTTTATTTCATGTGTATGCATGTAGGTAAGTGCACCCCTGTCGTGCAATGCCCACCAAAGACAGAAGAGGCTGTCCGATTCCCTGGAACTGGAGTTGTTGGCTGCCATGTGGGTGCTGGGATTCGAACCCGGGTCTTCCGCAAGAACAGTCAGTGCTCTTAACTGCTGAGCCATCTCTCCAGCCCCCTATAAGCATTTTTTTTTTTGAGAAAGAGTATTGCTATAGATCCCAAGCTGTTCTCAAATTCACAATCCTCCTGCCTCAGCTTCTAAATGCTGGAATTACAGGCACGTGCCACCTACCCTAACTGGCATTTTTTTCTCCCTGAGACAGGGTCTCATGTATCCTAGGCTGACCTTCACTTCCCTTGAACCCTCCACATCTCAAGTGCAGGGACTGCAGTCGCACTCCTTTGGAGCATCAGTAATCAGTAATTTTCATCTTCGTGTAGGAGAATGAGTCAGACAGGCAAAATAACTCGCCAGGTTCCCATCATCAAGGGAGACCCCAACACTGGAGTGGCAAGGGTTTGGGGGAGCAGAAAGCATTTGGGAGAACAATTCCTGGCTGGAATTCAGACCCGCTCCACGTGATCATGATTATACATATATTAATCTGCATTAACATGTCAAGCCACTTAGAAAATGGGAGCTGTAACACCTGCCACCTGGGGTGATGGCTCTGCACCTGTGACAACCTTAGAGTCTTTCCCTGCTGAGGACTGTTTGCTCCCGGTTCCGAGCTGCCGCTTCCGTTCCCAAGCACCGGGGTCCAAGGCCGGTTCGACCTCACGCAGGCAGTCAGCCCTGCACGCCTCCATCCACTCCGGTGAACGCATGGCTACTAGTGTTTGCACACGTCCACGCGGTGCGTTCGCTGACCCAGCAGGCATCCACCTGTCCCGGGAACCGGCGCAGAGGAGGTCCTGACACGCTCGGTTCGCACTCTGCTCTCGGGCAGCCCTTCTCCCTCGGTTGCTGTACCGCGGCTGCGTGTTTTCTCCATCTTTTTACTTCTCCGCTCGCCCCACAGCCTCACCCGCGTTCCTTCCACGGCCCTCATCGGGGGCGGGGGCACAGGGACTCCCCCAAACCGGAGCACCGGAGAAGGTCGCCATCGGACGGCCGTGTGCAGATCCTGGGGGACCAGGGACCAAGATCCCGCAGCCCCAGCCCCGGATCCCCCGACCGAGCCCAGGAGAAGAAGACCGGGAAGCG